GATCGCGCAGTATAGCAACAGCATACACTCCCTGGGGCCATAAGAATGCGACGGCTGAAGTCCTGGAACTTCTGAGAGACTTGGGTTTCCAAGATGAACACACGCAATTCGCAGCCAAGGCAAAGCCTCAGCAGTCCAAGACAGAGCATCAGCAGTCCAAAGCAGAGCAACGGCAAGCAAACACCACATCACGAGAGCATCACGACCAGACACGTACTATAGCAAATCACACGTAATCCTTAAGATCTCCTCCCGAACCCATTCACAAGATGTCCACGTCAGGTCCGTCAAATGGTTGTCAATGCGTGGATGTGATGATGAGGGATAAGATAGGGGATGGGGATAATGATGGGGCTGAGGGATGCCGCGATGGAGGTAGTGGACTTGGCAAGGTAGTCAACTTCATTCAGGGTTGTAGATGTTGCGCTCGCAACTCGCAATGGTACAAACACCTAGCTGAGAGTGCTGAAAGTCAAGCTGCGACAGCGATTGACCTGGATGAGCCGGATCAGCCAGCTGAGAAGGGTCCTTTCGAGACAGCAGCGGATGAGCGTGCCAAGGAGGGCATGAAGAGATGCATCACGGGACTCCATGATAAGGACTGTTTTGACTGGGTGCGCACTAAGGGTAAGACAAAGCCACATGTTCAGATCAGCGATGAATCAAAGGAGTCATCTATCTGTCTCGACTTGACAGGTCCACATCCGGTATCTGTTGAAGGGTACAAGTACGCGTTGATTGTGGTGTATCGTTTGCCAAACGGTCATCATCTTCAATACGCAAGGGACCTCAAAACAAAACGAGCGCAAGAAACAGCCACGCAATTTATATACTCAGGTCATGTCACGTCTGTGTTCGCTTGGGGATCCCCCCGTATACAGGCTGCATTCGGACTGTGGCAAGGAGTTTGAGAACGCAGTAATGCATGATCTTCAGAAACGTTACGCTGTGTTTCGCACGTACTCTTCACCATATGATCCTCAAGCGAACGGGCGAGCAGAGAGGGCAGCGCAGAGCTTGAAGCTTGAGGGCATGAGACAGTTGATTCATGCAGGCCTATCCCCACCATGGTGGTTTCATGCAGTTTCGCAGGCGGCATTCTTGTCACGACAAAGGGCGCTAGGCACAGAGCTGCCAAAGGATGCACCCAAAATGGGACAGTTGGTTGCTATCAAGCGTCACGATCATGAGGCGTTTGAACCAAGGACGCTGCAAGGGATCATGATTTCTTTTGATGAGGATTGTGTTCACGGCGCGTCTTTTTTGACAGGGCAGAAGGACAGCTTGAAGTTGCATCGTGCAAGGATGCGAGCTGCAATACTTCAGAAGCCCCTCATGGCAGCGCACGTCGAGTTCAGCGAAGATGGTGTGGGGAGAAGACGTGCCCACAGACTTACTCACTCTTGAGCAGAGGTTGGAAGGCCCTGAGAATCAGCCGGATAACACACAATGGAACAGTATTCGAGCAACGTGAGGCCCTGATGACCCAGAAAACTTAAGAAATTTCTTGAAGTATGGCCATACGCTGCTAACTGCTGAGGAAGAGGCTCCTCTTGTAACGCAAGCCTGCGCACGCGCAGATGCTTTGGAGGTTTCAGTCACCGAGGAGCCGAAACCTGGCGGTGCTCCAGCTATGGATCATGATACTTCAATGTCAAAGGGCTACATCATTTTTTTCGCATGCTCAGGAGCAAGAGATGCTTCAGAACGAAGGAAAGGACAATCGCGTGACAGTCACAAAGCAAGCGGCGCTAGCGTCTTTCACAAGGATGATACACCGGAATGGGAGTATCAAAAGTGGCTCGATGGCTTGACGCACGCTAAGGGTGTTCTGGAGAATGTGGATTTGGAGCAACGGGTAAAGGGAATAGCCCCTGTGCCAAGCAAGCTGGTGCTCACCAGGAAGCCTGTGGATGACGATGAGATCGAGCTCAAGGAGGGCGTGGGAGCCGCAAGCAAGGAGACCCAGACAACTACAGGGCAAATCCGGGTCAGGATATGACCAGGAGCTTGATTTTAATGTTGGCAAGACAGTCGCCCTTGTGGGCAGCCATGGTTCTTGAGCTTAGCTGCGCTTTCCTGAACGCTCCCTTGGATAAAGTTCCTAATGCCGAGCCAGTATATCTCCAACCCCCTAGCATCCTTTATAAATTAGGTCTTCTTCCGAAGGGGGCGCTTTGGAAAGCAAGGAAGGCCATTTCTGGACTGCGGCGGTCACGGAAGCAATGGGAGTTGGAGAGAAACGAGGAACTCACTGGTGCAGCGCTGCTTCCAAAGGAGGGACATGAGCTTGGACAGCTGACGCTTCATAAGTTGGAATCCGTAACTTGGGTGATCAGGGATGAGAAAAACGGCTTTGCTGGAGCACTGGTGATGTACGTAGACGACTCGTTTATCATTGGAGGCATCGAGCTTTGTGGTAGGGTCAAAGCAAAGCTACGGGAGTTGCGGGAGCTCAAGATCCAGGGCATCCTTCAGAACGAGCAACTTGGGTGGCTCCATTCAGGGGCTCGCGTGACGTTGGAGGGCGAGGTCAAGCCTGAAGTCACGTACTTAGGCATGCAAATTGGTCGCAATCAGAAGGGAATCTAGTTGCACCAAGAAGCCTGGATTTGCTCAGAGATCCTGAAGAGGTCGTGGCTCCACCTGAAAAAGGTGTGGAATCATTGCCAGAGATTGACGAAGGAAAATGGGAACCCCTGGAAAAGACAAAAGAGTACCACGAGGTTCTCAAGTCTTGTCAGTCGAAGATAGGCTCACTACAGTGGCTCTGCCAAAGAACTCGGCCACACCTGTGTGCAGTGACTGGATCGCTGGCTAGTTTGATGAGCGTGGACCCTGTTCCAATGTTGAACCTGGGAAGAAAGTGTGGAGGTACGTCAAGAGAACGCTTGAGTACAAGTTGCACTATGCGTACAAGGAAGACATGCAATCATCTGCGCAGCAATATTGGCGAAGACTGGGGCTCAGAAAAGATCATGGTAATTGAATCATGGTCAATGGTCAATGGTCGATAAGTGCGATGCAAACCTTTCAGGGGAAAACCGTGTCCCTTCAGGCCCCTGAAAAGCGTGGGCACGAGCTTAGCCCTCCACCCATGCATCGGCAAGGGAACGAAACCGTGGAACACCCCAAGGCCTATACAGTAGATGGACAGGGCCGGGGGTGTTCTGCAAACTCATCATGCTCTGAAGTGAAGGAACCCCAATGCATCAAGGAGAGGAAATCACCGGTTCAGGATTGCTCTCGCGGATACGGAAGTCCAACGCAGGCAGAGCGAAGCTGCGGCCTCAGGCTTGTCACCACCAGTGTCGCACCGCCCGTGCACTAGCACAGGCAACTGTCACCGAGCTGCTGCAGCAGGCGGTCCCTGATACTTGCAGCGTCAGGAAGACATGACAGACAATCTGTTGTGCTATGGAGCCGCAAGCTGGGCCACTGGGGCATCACGGTCACGAACTGGACTGTGGATATGCTGGGATGATCACCCCTGGCATGGAAGTCTTGCAGGCAAACAGTCACGGCTTGGTCAGCCTTTGAAGCACACGTGGATGCAGCTGCCAGCAAAACTCAGGTTGGGGTTACCATAAAAGGTATGTTGACGCAGCTGTTGGGTCATGAGTGCTTGCAGATTTGTATTCCCAAAATGCTGCTTGTGTGATTAATTTGGTTTGTGAGGATGGAGCCTTTTTCACTGTGCGCACTAGGACCGTTGGAATTGGATGTTCGCACATTCGCGACCAAGCCGTAGCCGAAAGCTTGAGTATCCACCACATGGCAGGCGATAAGCTTCCTGCAGATGCATTGACAAAAGTTCTTCGAAAGGGAGCACTGGAGTCCGCTAGGGCAAAGCTGGGACTCCAGGTGTGAAGCAAAGTAGTACTTGCGTGTACTTTTGGGTTGCAGCGCACCGAAGTAATGCGCTGACGACCAGGGAAAACAAGCAATCAGGCTTGAGTTTTGAGCATGCTGAGCTGTTGTAGCAGCTTCAATCCCGAGTGAGTCGTAGTAGGCCTTTGGAATATCCACTGATTTGTACGGCGCCAAGTAGCTAGCTGTCTTCGGATGTTTTGCGGTGAATGCTGTGATGCCATGTGTGTCTCGGTCACTCGTGTCCACTGGAACGAAAGAAATTGTCAGCCTCGAAAAAAAGAACAAAGCCGCAGGAGGCCCACTGCAAAAGGGCTAGCGCCCATACAATCGGTTGCTATCGTATGAAAGTGATCGTAGCTAGGAGGCACTGGCATCGCATGTGCAGTTGGCCTGGGGTCTATGCTTGCAAGTTTGGAGCTCCGAAGTGCCTGGGACAGTCTCTCCGTCGAGGAGGAGTGTTCGTTGGTGAGTGCAGATGCTTCGCATGACCCCTGCCAAGGATGACACGCACAATGGCCAACAACGTTGGCTCAAGAATTCCGAAGAGCATTGAAGGTTGAAAAGGTTTAGTGTGTGTGGTTGATGATTGATGGATGGGTAAAGGTTTTGGTAGTGGGCCTCTAGAGACCTCATGCGACCCTACAGCAGTGTAGATGACGTACCGTACTCTGTATGTGCTAGATTGCAACAAGGTTCCCAAGGATCTCCAACACCTACCCACTACTCCATTGTATCTTCCCCATCACCTGGCCATAACCAACAAAGAGGCCCACACGCTGCAGCATAGGAAAAGAACATGTGTCCTGACCTCCATTCCCACGTGGACAAACAAACCTAGAAAAACAGCTACTGCAACGTATGCTTTTCAGCCTTCTAGGGCCCGACCCGACACTTGACTAACAAGACACTCGGAACCCATTTGCTACCATAAACCATGAACTCCTTACATGGGCCACATGGGCATTTTCCGAGCATTGTTTACCGCATCCATCCCAGGAACGTGCTACCGCAAACTACGCGGTGCTCGAATCTTGGTAGGCACCGTCCGCGAGCTGCTACATGCTACATGTGACTCAACCAATGAAAAAAACAGCTTCCAAGGAAGCCTGTTGCGCCGCCCCGAGGTCCTCCAAGTCAAACATGCGAAGCCCGTTTCGGCTTACTGCGTAAGCAACCAAGAAGCCTGTCAGAAAGATTGGCGCACAAAAAAAATATGTACCGGCATCAGAATCTGCACTCAAAGGGGCCCCCATGTCCAGTCCATTCCCTCAGCAAACCGATAGATCCGATAGTCAATGGGTACCCAGCACACCATCTTGTGCGCATATTTAATCCCTGCCTCTGTGCTTTGCCAGATCGCATCTAAGCGCTCCCCGGAGAAAGCCTCGCACGTATTCCGCAGATTGGCATGTAAAGCCCACGGCATGTCAAAGCGAGTTCATGCGGACTTTGTCGGGGTTAGGTTGCTCTGCAGCGCAATCTTGCTGTCAACACATGTCCCAAAAACTGGGCATCGACCATATCAAACCTCAACACTAAAAGAGCGCCTCCAGCCTCCAAACCACCAAAACAATTCTCCAGCATATGACAGCCATGAACGACCCTCGATTCCACAACTTCTGCGAAGCAGGCCGCTAGCCAGGCTCATTTTTCCAACCCAAACTTACAAAGTCAAGAGATACCCAGGTTCCTCGGAAGTCTCGTTTGGAGAGAAATGTCGACCGCAGGTAAGCCTCCACAAGCAGTTGTAGATTATAAATGGGCAACATACCAAACAGCCATGGAACTGTAGAGTTGTTGGCTCGTGGGTTCTGGTGTCGATCACAATGCCCTTTTCGTGGAGTTGTTGCTTGCATGGACACCCTGTGATTGAATCTTCCGGGTCCAAAACCTACATCTGGTGGTGTCAGACATTGTAAGGATCTCATGGGGTGAGGAGAGGCCGAGAAGCCTTGAAGTCTGACTTCCAGCGCTCAAACCCCTTAGCAAAAGATTCTTGATTCAATGTTTGTTGCTCTCCATGCAACCCACAGATACCCACAGTGTGGAAGTGCTGCTTTGGCAGTGCACGCAACTTGGCCTCTTTTTTCAGACGGTTGGAGCTTTCTCCTGGAACTTGCACGTCCACCGCTCCATCCACTGCTCCATCAGGAGGGCAATGCTGTGGAGCACAGACCTATGGCCTGTCGATCCTGTTCAACCACCATCGTGGAGGCAGCCAAGTGCGCCAGCGGGCCGAAACCCAAAACAACAAAAAAGGAATGCTCATCTTCAAACTTGAATTGGCTGAATCAGGAGCGACAGCTAGACGAATCCAGTCCTTGCAGCCCTTGCTGCAAGGGTGGTCTGCTGTAAAGTGCACCAAAATGTTAAAGTGTTTCGACATGCTCCTCCAAAACATGCCTGTTCCCTTGGAATGATGCGCAGCCTCAGAGCTTCGACTTTGCATGTGCAGCAGGGTTGAAGGGCTCGAGAAAACCGTCCCCGACGTAGAAGTTGTGCTCCGTGGCGGACTCCCGGAAGACCACGAAGCAGTGGTTCTCTTGCAGCCCGAGCTCATCCGCTAGAGTCTTGGCGATCCGCTTCGAGAATTGTTCCTTGCGCCACTTTTCTCGCCCAGGCCGCTGGTCCACCTTCACAACAGGAACTCCATCCCCCGGCTTGCCCAAGACCTCCACAATTGTGACATAGTCATGGTGCGCGCGGTCGGCGGACAAGGTATCTAGCACATGCTGGCGACAGGCCACTCGTACTCGTTCCAGCGTTGCCTCGTCCCCCACGTTTTTCGGCACCTGGATTTCGACGATGGGCATTTTCACGGGGCTTAGTTCTTTACTGCAGACAACTTTGAGCACGTGCTGCAGAAAGTCAAGGCGTATGAAGCATCGGCGGTGACCACATGTTTAACATTGTCAAGTCTGGGCACACCTGGGCACCAGCCAAGTTGCATCTTAAACAAAGGGGAACAGATGGTTTGAAACTCCATGAAGTTGCTGTTTAGCGCTGTGCCGCTGACAGATCAACATGCAGATTCGCAAACACGCAAGGCAGACCTTCTGAAGTTAGATGAGTAGGCCATCGATATCGTCGAACACAATATTCAATAGCGGAGCCACGACCGCAGCAAAAAAAAAAAAGAGAGCCATTACCTTTGTAAATGAGGCGTGCACATCTCAGAAACAAAATGCCCGGCTTTGCAAAACCTTGCAGCTGCTGCTGAATGAACTGGGTCCAGCAGACGCAAGCTGCCTCACATTCATTGCCAGCTAGGTCGGTGGGACAGTCGTAGAGGCACCAGCCTAGCATCAGAATCGGGGGCGTCAACGGACCGTGCCATGACTGGTCAGGTGCAGTGTTTGTGTGAGGCCTTGCGCGAGCTTCCTCAGGTCTAACACATGCATCACACGCCCAGCGAGGGCTCTTGCAGCAGACTTGGCACACAAATATTTAAATGAGAATGACAATACAAACAGAAACGAAGAGAAGGCTCAGTATTTGGCTTGATTCCTTTTCCTACTTGGCGATTCTGATTAATGCCGTCTTCACCTGCTGCAGCTTACGTTGGTTCCGCAGCTTTCCATAGTGCGAACGTACTGCAGGTGCTAGGGACAGCAGGCAGCCCGCTGATCAAGCAACAGGTGCCGTCATGCTGCAAAAAAATCATCGCTTTGCACTATTTGCATTGTGAATCCATGCCTGCAGTTCAAGCCTCCAATTGATATTTCCACACACACTCCGTTTACTTGACTGAACTTCATCATAAAGCCGATGGTTTTCGGCGTACGGATTGTGGGCAAGGAGGGCTTCGATTCTCTGCCACTGGGGGGGGGTGGGGGTGGGGTCTGGCTTAGAATCAGAAAGCCAAACATTCCGTGTTAACATCCGGACAAGCTGTGATAAACCTGAAGACAGTTTGAAGCCTATTCGAAGTGCCACGAACTCGAAGGATCTGTGCACCTTGGCTTCCAGCAGCATCACACTGGCATGCTTCGGTGTGGCTGGCGGCACCAGCAGTCAATACCACCTCCAAGCCAGACCTGTCTACCATCGTCGCGAGAGCCTTCGAGATCTAAGTGTGGAGTGCGCCCGCCCGCAAAGGCAACCCCACTCCAAGCTCTAGGGGCGAGGCGCGAGCATAGAGGTAGCCCATGGCCTGCCGTTCTTCACTCTGGGCTGGGGCTGGGACTTGCCTTGGGAATCGGTGGTTCATGCGCTGTACTCGGTGGACCCTCAGCCTTTTCTCACGGTCGTTTTTGCAGCATGCTCCCTTTTTCCACGTCCTCGTGTTGGATGGAATTATGGATAGTCTGTGCAAGACGTGCCAGTATTCATTTCCCTGGGGTACCTTAAGTCCTTCTCATGAACGTTTCGAACGGACGGAGGTTTCCAGCAATCCAAAGTCTACAAGAATACTTGACCTCACGGATGCTTGCGACAGGTAACATCCAAATCTGCTCTTCCTGCATCAACCTAGCACATTGAAGTTGGGGCCGTCTAGATTCGAGGCCACAGCGTGAACATAGGCCCAAATTGGCAGGAAGCGTCGTCCCTTTGAAATGTCTGGAAATGTCTGGATTCGGTGCAGGTAAAAAAGCTGGTTACGGGACCCACTAGCTTGCCAAAAGAGGCTGTGGCGAAGTCCCCAGTCCTGGATCAATACAGCAAGAATGCTGAAACTGCATGCAAACAGAAGTGGTCTCGCCTCGCCGCATATCTTGGAGACAGCATAGAAAGAGTCTGGACCAGCCAGTGCCAGCCTTCTGGTGCGACCGCTTAGCATGATATGGATGTGGTATCAGATATGTGGGTCCTTCTTACGCTGCCCTTGCAGCGATAGCAGCGATAGGGATGAGCGATATGAGCAGTCTTGGCCGTACGAGTCAGAACTTTCGTCAAAAAGGAACCAAAACCCTGCGAGACACCAAATGCACCAAAAACCTCGGTCTTTACCTTTACTTAGCAAACATCGTTCTGAGAAACGCAATCCCTCTCTCAAGATGAGTCGCGGGCGGGTCGGAAGTTTTCAGAGAAGCAGGACCTGGCCCAGCCCAGTCCCAACATGATCCGTTCTTGGATGACTTGCGGCTCATGCTTCGATTCAAGGTCGCTTGGAACAACCAGCCTTGGTCAGAAAAGATGCCAAACAGACCGAGCCGCCTCCAAGGCCTTTAAGGCGAGACCAGTCCATGCTTCCTGCGTGGCTACCTGACCACACGAAGAGAGAAAGTGAAGCTTACTTTAACTGTAAGGGACTGTGTATCCTTCATAATGTGAGACTGTTCGACTTGCATAACCCCGGCTTCAGTGCTTCATAATTAATAATGCTTAAGGGCTGTCGAGTAGAAGTGCAAGGTGGCCTGGAGAGAAACCCTGGTACAAATGGTACAACTGACGGCGCCAGATCTACCTCCAACAGAAGCCGGGTCATCCTAACGTCCGCGAAGCCAGGCAAGGCGTCGTGAAAATGTAAGCGGCACACCCAGTGAAGAGCCTCTAGAATCTGTCGGACTCGGCAAGATGACCTGCTTCTCAATTCTCTCACCGGACAACACACGCACACTGCAGGTGCCTAGCTGCATCGTTGCCCCATGCTGGGTGTGATTCCTCGGAGGTTTGCTTGTTGTTTTAAGCTAAACTGTGGGAATTCCAACGCTGATAGATTTACGCTTAAGGTCACAGTCCCAAAGAATCTATGAGTTAATAAGGTTCATACAGAAAGTTCTTGCATGAACTCTAGGGGTCTCGCAAATCGGAGTTGCACCCTGCGGGAGCCCTGCTGCCAACAGAGGGCTCGCGCCGTCCAGCTCTCAGACTGATGTTATGTTGCTCACGTGTTCTTCACGACAAGTATTCGAAATGTGCAGTGCTAACCATACTTGGCGGCACAGCAGATTTCTTGCTGAGAGACAAATATGAAGCTGCTCAAGCTTTGGTCAACGATATTTAGCCAGCACGGCCTCTGCCAAGTTCACAGAGATGGGAACGAAGAAAAACAGATTGAGCCCTCAAAAACATGCTGGCAAGATCAACGACAAACCTGCCAGAAAAGACAACATCCTATGCCGCCGCAACAGCCCCCGCAAATCTACACAATTTAATCTTCTGTTCTTGCCAGATGGCGTGGAGGCGAAGATAACGCGCTGAACGCCCGCACGCTGGGCCTGCAGAGAGATTCTCTGGGCCGCACTGGGCAGTTCTACAAACGTAGGTTGCAGTTCGTTTACCGCTTGTGTTGTTGATTCTCCCTGGCGTGTCTGGAAGCGGAGTCATACCTCCACGGGCTGCTGTGAGTTTCACGGCTTGTGCAGATGTCAGAGCCTGACTGCTGGACGAGAAATCTAATGCATTCTAACGTGCCAAGCGTTATGTGTTCAGGCTAGCTACCAAGACAACACTGGCAGCATGTTTGAGTCAGTAAACAAGATGAATATGCGTTTTACTTGCCAGCATGACAGATCTTCAGGTGGCCACGCATGCAGTTGACTGCTTTAGCGGTTTTGGAGCCTCTTCAACATACAGACAACATACAGACAACAATGTCGAAGGGCCATCCAACGTCAACGTGACTTTTCGCAACAGCACCCAAACTGACTTGGTTGGCATGAAGCGTCCGTATCCACAACTTCGGCAGACGCAGAAAACCGTGCACTGTAGTAAGCGAAGAACAGCAACTTGCCAACTACAGATACGGCTTCAGTTTGTGTTAGGACAATCTAAATCCACACCCATGGCTTCGGTGGACATGAGTTAGCATGATTTTACATCATGTCAAACAAGCGGGTACCTCACCCGGGCATAAGCTCAGTTCACTCAAGCAAGATCGCGCCAGAATGTGTGGCTATGTCAGCTGTTAGGACTCACTTCATCCACACGAAGAGCTTCGGCG